ACACGAGCCAAACTACTTATTTTTGAGTATTCGTGTGGCCACATCCATCCCTCTTCTCCTCCTGCACGACGTCACAACCTTCCTGACTCATGTTGAACTTGAGGGTTTATACATATTCATCCAGTCAGACATAATTTGTGGCGACTCGATGACCTTGCCCGTCACATTAAACCACACTGGGTGGTTCGGTTGTTCGTCATAGTGCCCCATAAGCCGTGTTTGGATGTCGGTTGCCAAAACTCACATGTCCAAAAGAGCATGACTGTGCTTTAATTTGTTAATTTTTCCTCCTATCTCCTGATTTAACCAGAGGGAAGTGTGGGTGGAGGTCAAGAGTCCTCTCAAAATGACACAGGTCATAATCCTTAGGTCTTCCGTCCTGCTCGATTTACCAAAGCTGCTGGTAATGCAAAGCCCATTTTAATAATATCGGCCCCAGAGTTGCATTCAAAGTGACTTGTGTATCGACCTCTAGCAGCAGAAAACCTGCCTGAAGGGCCTTCCCTGACAGAACTGTGAGGGAGTATGGTGCCCCTTTTACGTCACATTTAAGCAGAATGAAGGGATTGTTTTAATAAAGAACAGTAGGACAGTCTAATGCCTGGCACAAGCTGTTGTCCGCTACGTTTTGGGAAATGCGCTGGCTTCAGTCTAACAGTAATCGTCTTGTCTGGAGCATCAGGTTTCCTGTCAGGTAAGACGTTTCAATCCAGTGTGGGAGACGCAATCACTGATTACGAATCCAACAGATAGCAGAAAAAGCTGAAAAACACTGGATATGAATAGTGTAAAAAAATGAAGCGTGATATAAAGTAAACCTTGAGGATTATACTTTTGTGCCTTTGTGCGTTTGTGTGGGTGTGTGTTTGAGTGTACACACAGGCGTGATGTACCTCTGCTTTGAGCCGCTCGATTTCAGTGTCCTGATCCTCGAGCTGAGTGCGCAGCTGATTGGCAGCAACCTTCTCCGTCTCCACGATCTGCACGAGGTGGATGTACTTCTGCATCAGCACCTCTCGCTCGATGATGATGTCAGAGTAGCTGAAAAAGTGTGCAGAAAGAGAAGCACAAAAGCTCAGCATTAACAGCGACGTGACACTTTAAAAACAGGTGTCAACATGTAGTAGTAGCTCATATGAAACACACATTCTCACTTCTAGCTGTGTGTTACAGGAAGGTGACGGAAAATCAAAGACACAGTTGTGACAGTTGAAATGTAGTCAATTAAATGCGAGTGGGTGAATCAGGTCTGCTTATCTAACCTGTGTGAAGCGCTAAAGACTCCCTCTTGTAAAAATCATGTTTGTTGCCTTATTATTATGTCCATATGGTGTTTTTATATACATGCTGGAACACACATCATTAGTAGAAAAATAAGCAGCCAGGATATCAACGACTGCCTCAAAAGCACAGATTGAGACTTCGGGGGTTTCAGATGTAAGAAAGCAAAGTAAATAATCCTGTCTCTCTTTCTGAAACATTATTCTTCTACAGAGTCAGTCGCCAATTTGAAAANTGTGTTGTATTGTTGTGCATTATGTAGGAGAAACTAGCTAGCTACTAACAGTTTGATGCCAGGGGCCAAAGCAGTGAAAGCTCAATTATTGTTTCCTACAGAAAAAGAAAATAGACCTATTGATCTAATTAGCATAAAGCGATAATTACCCGCTGTCGTGTGTGTGAAAGACAGGGAGACAATTGTAATTAGTCGTGATTAACAGCGTCGTGGAGGTCAGGGTTGTGTTTTTCCGTGCGAGCGTGTGATTTACGGCGCGGCGGCGGAAGCGCGTGGCGTTCGATAAGCATAGCGGTTTGGCAGCTTGTTTGCAAGGCAGCTGATGGACTGTCCTTATTGAGCGGTGGGATTCTCCTCCCACGCTCAGAGGGGATTGAACGCCGTCCACGCCCGCCTCTTTACTGCCATAAACACAACCCCCACAAATCACACACTCGCACACCAGTGTACAGGTATTTATAGGTATATACAGTACCTACGCTTCCTCTTGGATTACTCTTCATGTGAGTCATGGCAGGAGACTGATCATAGAGCTGAGTGAGGGAGAAGTACGTTTTTTACCTTGTTGACACGTCCATACGGTGTTTTTTTGTATGTTAGACGTCAAATCATGAGGTTACAACAAACCAAAGGACCCAATCTGATAAAGCTGCAGTTGGGGGGATTCTGTATTATTCTTCCAGTT